CTAATGAGCCCATCACTGGAGTAGCTAGGGCTAATAAGTCCCAGGGATAGTAGGTAACGAAGGATACATCATCCCTGTAAAATTTGCTGTAGAGGTTCTCTCATGAATTTAGACTCTACCACATATTTACTGAGTGCCACTGCCAGCACTGTCATGCTGCTCACTAGTTTTGATGCAGAGGCTCACGACTCCAAAGGAAGCTTATCTAGGTCCTGTCCAAAGAGGTGACCAAAAAAAAAAAAAAAATTAAAAAAATCAAGGCCTCCTTTGTTTCTCTCCCTGCATATTCCTCCCACCTGCCTACTATACTCTTCCACTACCCAGACCCCTGCAAGCAAGAAGCAAAGCATCCATGCATATCAATGTCCTTCTCTGACATATAAATCTTTAAATTTTAATTCTTGCATAGTGCCAGGCGTAAAGATGTGATAGACTACAGGAATAAAAAGACAAAAAAAAGTTACGGATTTCTTACAGATTTAGAAATATGCCGAGAACGTTTCCCTTCCACTCATTCCAAGTTTTAGACCACTGAGGTCTGAACCTCAAAACTTAGTGTCAGTGACACTAATTAAAATATTTTCCTGTTTACATTGTATTCTCTCTCACTATCCAAATCACAAAAGCAGTTTTCTTTGAACTGTTTGAAATTAGGTTTTGATACAAAGATGTTAGCTCCTGCTATATCTCACTTCCCCCAAAGCAATTAAAACTCCTGTCATCCTGCTTTATGCGAAGCTTTTACAATCACATTTATCTGCTATACTCTTTCCCACCTCATGTTATGCAACACTAAAAAAGTGGAGACAATTCAAATCTCTACTCATCTGCTTCCTCTGTTGAATGTTACTTAAGTTACTATTTGGATCTAGAACACAATATTTTAATGAAGCTGTATGTCTTTCAATAACTCAGTTGCCTTTTTCTTTTCAATAGCTCCAGAAGCACAAATATTTTCTCAGACGTGTTGACAGTAGGTAAAGCAGCAGGAAAACTTGTAACACTTTGCAACAATAAAACAAAAACATAAATCTGTTTTAATTAAGAGGAAAAAAAAACCCCACCTTTGCAAATATAAAACAGCAGTTAGAAGAATGGTCTAAATATCAAGAACAAATCACTAGAAGTTTCTAAATAAACCCAGAAGTCTGTTTTAAGTTAGATTACACACCCAGTGATAATGATCTTCTCTTCCCCCATTCTTAACTCTAAAGGAAAAAGACTCTAAAAGGTGGCCCCCTTAAAAGGGGATTTTAAAAGGCAATGGTGGAAAAAAGTTGGTCCAGTTACACAGTGTCATCTTTTCACAAGGAGAGAAGGCTATTTGATCATTCTACCTGTGTCTGTACAGTAACCATTTTCTCCAGCTCCACACCCCAATGCATCTTATATCTCTTGGCCAACCACTCAGGAAAGCAGGCATCACAAAAAGAATTTTTACTTTTTACAAGTTTTCCTTTGCAAATAGATGGCTGTGAAGACATGAGCGACCCTAAACCTCCTGTATTTGACCCACCTGACAAGAGCAGCAGCTGAAATAAGCTGCCCAAATCCACGTTGTTGAGCTGTCAGACCCAACAAGAGTGCACAGGGGACACAGACAGGAGGAAGGGATAACGCTGGGTGAAGGCATGTAAGAAGCCAGGGATGGCAAGGAGGAGGGAGGAAAAAAAGGAGGTACGTGCACGCACAGGGCATAGGAACACAGAGAGAGAAGCCAGAGGGACTGCTGCTGGGGTGGAGGGATAAGTAGAAATCCTTCTAAACCCAGACGTTGTTAGTGCTACTGTTCACAGAAAAATCTGATTAGCTTTTCTATTTTTTGGGGTGGCGATGACTGGAAGACTGAAGGCTTTGTGGGGTTTGTTTGTTTTTCACTTAAACAGAAGATCTCGAGGGTTTTTGGTTTTGTCTGCAGAATTAGAAATTGTCTTTTCTTTTTTAGTATTAGAAAATCAGTTATTGAAAACAGTTAATAAAATAAATAAGAGCTAAAGTACAGAATTACAGCTGTAAAATATCATATTGAGAAAGGTGAATTTGCTGAATAACTGAAAGACAGTATTTAACAAAAAAAGAATCACTTCAGACAACCCCAGAGGTTCTTTTTTTCTGAAGACAGACAGAGGCTAAGAGGTCACAGCAGAGGAAAAAAAAAATACATAAAACCCCATTGTAGAACAGCTTAACTTCTACAATTCTTTCCCCCCCCACCCCCCGTGATGATGTAATTGTAAAGAATAAAAAACAAACCAAAAATGCCTGGATACAGATGTTGACTATTTTCTGAATCTTCAGAACTTTCGCACATGCCTAGGGAAAAACAGGTGCTGTTAGAAGTGGTGCGTGCTTCTGAGCGCTTAAGGGAAGTCATATGTGCTTTCCTCTCTAAAGACTATTTCCCTTTCTCCCCCTCAAATGGGAACATATTAGCATACTGCCATGAAATATCTCCGATATATTTCAGAGTCAGTTAAAAAAATAAAGCTAACTTTAAAGTATTAGACTAATTGTTTCGGTTTTAATAGATATTTAAGAAAGAATTAGTAGATCTAAAGTCTAAATTACTTGTCTATACAGGTCTTTATTACTAGTTTCACCAATTCCAGAGAATTTACTCTGGAATGAGGTAACTGCTGGGATACAGGTGACTTCAGTTTGAAGTCATGAGACAGCTGGTAGCTGCAGCTCTCCACAGACAAGCTTGGTCAGCCCCTCACACCAAGAAAGATCAGCACCTTCACAGCCTCATCTCTAGAACAAATCACTTCCAGGTTAGCCAAAGGCAGACCAGGGAATAAACACCATTAAAATAAAAACAAATTACCAAACCTAAATATATTTACACTGCTGTGCAACAGACTACCAGTAAGGGGGAAAAAAAAAAAAGGCAAAGAAGTCTGTAGCAAGAGAAGATTGAAAACGCAGCAGTACCAGCAGGAAACGCTGAAGTAACTCTGGAGCCTGAAAGACTGGAGACACTAGATAAGACGCAGAGGTTTGTGGTCCATGGGAAAAACATAAATACAGATTTAGAAGGTGGTGGTGTCAATTTTTGATTGGTGGACACGTGGCAAGCAATTAACATTTCAAAAAAATATCTCTGCATCCTGCATCATTTACTTTCCAGGGGGTGCTATCGAAAGCAGTACCATTTCACGCAGTGCCCCATACGCGCTCTCTTCCTAGAAGGGCCAGACTGCAGTAGTGTGTTGTTATCCTAAGGTGGTCCTTTTCCTTTCATAGAAAGAGAAGGGCACAAAAAGGGGTGAGTCGAGAACAGAACAAGCCACCAAATTATCCTGTTGGACAAAGCCACCCAAGTGCATTTTAGGTGTGATCATATTGGTAGTCATTTTGGAGGGGTACTTTCTTCTCACTGGTGCTGTTGTTTGGAGGGTGGGATTGTTTTGGTTTTGCCTGTTTGTTTAACTCCGACAGCAACTGTAAGCACTCCATATTTGTGTGAGAAATCCAGATTTGGACTGCAATTTCTCAGGTGGCAAGCTGTCACACTGAGCCTCACGTGTGATTGCTTTCAGTAGAAGTGACTCTTTGTAAAGTTCTGTTATGCATCTGGTTCCATCATTTCTCTATTCTTAGCATGGGAGATATATGACTTTATAAATAATTTTTAACAGAGAAAGAGATTTTAGGGTATTCCAGTTAACCAGAATAAATTAAAGGAAAAAAAAAAGAAGACTCAAGTTATTATTGTACATGACAATACTATCACGTTCTCTCTCTCACTTGAAAACTTATGTGGCAGTCTTCCTTTTTTAAAGAAAGTATCACTATGAAATATTTCTCTCTTTTTTGGTACTATTAAGTTTTCTTTTTTGTAAATAAAACAAAGGACTAGTTCAATATAGATATCCATATCTCCATGTTTTGAATTAACTAAGCTAGTTACAATATTTATATCCAAAACCACAAATTTAAAACTGCATCCAACTCCTGTTACCTTCTATAATCAAACACCATTACAAAAATGAACTTTTGGTCTCATAACAGGCAGAATTTAAGAAGAAAATGACACAAACTTTTAAACCAGCACTACAAGAAACGGTGGAGTTCAAAATAAATACTACAGGCAGACAGTGGATATGTTTCATGTGTGCTGCCTATGTTCCAATTCACAAACACCTATGTTGTCAGTATGATTGATTTCTTTATGCCAAATCAACTTTTGTGGTGAAAGAAGGGAAAAGTGCCTAAGAGGTCAGAACAAAGAGCATAAGAAAGGATATTTCATGCCCAGATAAACCAGCCTGAAGCATCACAAAAATTTGCAAAGAATAACCTAAAAAAAAATTCGTATCTCTATATACGATGCCTGAGGCACAAGCTAACTGTAATTCATTTGTGTGTGCCAACAATACTTGTCAAAGATATCTCATTTAATGAAGGGAGTCATCGTCCAAATTTGGGATAAATGCATATATACAAAATACCTGTTATACCCTTAATTAAGAAGTAACCATGTCTGGATCAAAAAGAATTACATCACTGCTGTAAAACTGTTAGAGGGAAACAGTCATTTTAGCACAGTTTTCTGTAAAGACTGTTTTCTGCTAATACCCCAACCCCTAGGATTGATGAAACAGAAATACTAGTGTATGATGATCCATTTTTCCAGATTATTTTCTGCATTTTTGAATACCACAGCAACAGAGCACAGAAGACTTATTGACAAGGGACAGCTCTGCTATGTGGTCTTACACAATTAAGAATAGGATTCAAGGATTTCTGTATGGGACTGGTTCTGAGGAAAGATTTCCTGAAAGTTATAGGATACCCCAAAGAGGAGCACACATTCAACTTCACAGTGCTGGAAAGGTGAGGATAGGGAAGGATATAAGCTTCTGATACCACTAGTTTGCTTAAAATTCTGGGAGTGCTAACACGACAAATCCCCTGCAACACAGTTTATGATGGCACTTAAGCAACACCTTCTAAGCAAAGCACCGCACTACATACATCAAACAAAAACTTCTTACCTGTGACTTCCATCCAGATTTGATCTGTGGATGAAATTCAGTTTAGCATCTGCCCAATAAAGCTTCTGTTCCTCATAATCCAGCGTCAGTCCATTTGGCCAGTATATGTCTGTATTAACTATAATGGAGCGGCTTGAACCATCCATCCCAGCACGTTCTATCTTTGGCACTTCTCCCCAGTCTGTCCAATACATGAACCTGTAATTATTTTACAAAGACAAAAAAAGAAAGCAATCACATATAAATCTACAGCTGGAACATTGGCTACAACTTTCATTAAAGGCAAAGGCGCTGTGCAGAGCAGAGCTCTGTTCTACCGGGTAAAATACATGTGCTGTGAAACACAACAGAACAAAGTCACTTCACAAAAAGCTGAAGAAAACTTAAGTCAAACCCACAGTATAATGTCACATTATACTTCTGTATGTTTCTTTCCTTGGGTCAAGTGAGAAAGTTGGGTTTATCCAACAGAACTTGACAATAACCTCAAAATTCAACATTAAGCAGCGAAGAGAAATATTACAGACTATCATAAAGGTACAACAGCCTCTTTAACATGGGTCAGAGCACTGAATGAGAGGGGAATGGAAAAAGGCGTGTGGATTCATAGTGGACAAAACAGTTGCATGCAAGGCAGTGAAGCAGATTTGATGGAAGACCAACCAATTCATGTCCTCTTTTTTTTTTTTTTCCAGAGAAATTCAGAGACAGTCAACTAAGTCAACATATTTAGAAGCACAGTTTGTACCCAGTGACCATGCAAAACACTCCATAAAAATCTTTTAAGACATGGGAAGCAAGTTTTAAAACATGTTAGCGTACACTGGCACATCTTTAAACATTATTTAGCAAGTAGTGGGGGGAAGGAAGTTACCTAGTTGCATTTAAGACTGAGATAAAGCAAGAGAAACCACTTGGTTATGGCTGAGGAGTAGTAGGGAGTAGAGAATGCTTGTCCTTTTTCTGCAGGTGGTAGAAAATGGATTTACTTTTGTGGATTGCTAACAGAAAACATAACTAAACAGAAGTAACATATAATATAAACAGATCAGACAAAGTGTGTCCATGGAGCTTGCTCTGTTTTGTTGTTGCAGCTGGGACAGACAAGATGACTACTGTCCTAAATTGCTTCTCATACCCTTCTTTATGACATCTGTCAGCATACCTGCTTGTATCTGTGCTCCCTAACCTGGCTCAATCAAAACAATCCAGATGAGGAATGATTTGAAGCCTTTAAACTAACGCAGATCATCACACAACCACATGTCACTAGACAGTGCCACATGTGAAGAGGCCTGGCCACCCGTCCTATAAAGAAAAACAAATGTTCAACACATTTAAGAAACACTTGCAGAGAAAGTTATCCTTGACAAAGATTTATTTTTATTTTAAAAAGTCAGGAAATTCCATGTTATATTTTTTCCCCCCTTAATTCATGTCTAAAGCACGTTTGTTTTAATGCACAGCTCTATCTGTGGACAGAAGTGCAGCTGATGAACACAAATATTGCCCTATTTGATCTCAAGTGAGTCATTCTTCATGGAGCAACGTGTCTGTCAAACACAGAATACAAATATCTGAAGAGAACATGGGAGATTTCTGTAGGCATAAACAAGCACTACAGGGAAACTGATTTTCCATCATGAAAAAGGAAAAAACCCAAATAATTTTCAGATAGGTAACACAGTAGTAAGTCACCTGATCAAGCTATGCAGTAAGAAAACTACATACTTGGGGGAAAAAAAAAAAGTTAAAAAAAGTCAGGCAGCATTTCACCAGCAAGCACACGTGAGAAAGGAGAAATTCTAAAAAAAAAATTCTTTAAAAAGACCCTTCTTTGCCCCAGCTGTCAAGTCCTAGACTTCCAAATACTTCATCAAGGTTCCAAGGCTCTGGCCACCCTGCTAGACCGATTTTTCAGGCTGAAACAGCTCATTAGTTGCTGTACAGCCTCATCTTCTTCCCTGCCTGCAATTACTCAAGCAAAAACAGGTAAGGGTAGTTTGGTAACAAAGAAAAAGCCTTCCCAGACTTCACATCGCCAGCACTATTTCATTTGTCAGAGGAGCACACAGAACTGGCTTTAAGACTCAGGAACATTTCCAATCGGCTCCAGTGACCTCTGCTCAGTTTCTCCAATAGGTTTTTTTTTCCACTATCATTGTTTTGTTTTCCTCCACTGTGCTTGAAAGCTTCTGGGTTTTAATGTCTCCATTAAAAATCTCTGGACCCGGCCACTCTCCCACCGATGGCATCAAGGGCTGTGTTTCACTCAGGAAGCCAGGCTTTTCCTTGCTGCAAAAGTAATGCAGGTTATAGCCCGATGACCATTTCTTTTGGTAACAGTCGCTTTTGAGCAACTTCTTGCAGATCATCTTTGCTTCCAGTACAAGGCCTCTACGGCCATGCAGGAAACTGGATTCAAGGAATAGGTCTAGGCTAAAAATCAGTCATCAGTCTAAAGGCATTCCAGGGCACAGCTCCATGAACACTTCCACCTGCAGGTGTAGGTGTCTGTAGCTGCCCCAACCAGCATGGGTGCCAACAACAGCCACTTTCTTACTCAAGGCCCTTTTCTGCAACAGCTGAGCACATACACCACAGACAGGAGCAGGAGGGGACGGGAAGAATTAGCTGTGTAAACAGTGGGAAGAAATGCCCCTGTTGTAACTATGCTTTGAGTTAAGTGCAATGGCAAAGAGACAAGGGAGACCTGGCTAACAGCCATGGGAGAGTGGGGGGACAGACAGATGGACACCACTGCAAATTCCCATTACTGCAGGTCTTTATAGATTTTTCTACTGAGATCTCAGATCCCTCTTCCAGGTAACATCAAACTGTTCACATGTGTGTGCTGGTTCCTCCTTTCTGGAAGGTTTATAGATTCCGGTTTCATGATATAATGGTTGGTATGGAATCCATACAGAGACCATAAAGAAAGGAAGATGTTACAACAGAGAGACTTATTGGACAGTGGTAAGCCAGCCATATAGACAAGGTAAAGGTCATTCTCCCTCCTGCCCCTCCTCTTCAAACACATTTAATTATTTCCATTGAGGGGGGGTGTGAAAAAAGTAAAAGGCTGCCACCAAAAAGACAGAGAAAAATAAACGAAAAGTAATGTCTTGTGCTAAATTATGGCATTCAGATACCACCAGAAGACTACTGTTCAATTTGCCTCTCTCCTCATCTAGTAATACCTTCCTATAAAATTTAAATCCAGGAATCAAGATTTTAATTCTAGCCCAGAAGAGGAGAAAATAAAAAATTAAAATTAAAATCCATACTACGCTGTGAATTCTCAGGAAAAAACCCAATCCATAGGATCCAGAGGGCAATCTACAGACATGCTGTGACTTCAGCAAGCCTGCCTGGGTCCAGAAACAGGAATGCTTCCTCACACTTCTCAACTCTGGCTGGTAGTACTGTTGTTCCAGGCAGTTACAACCACGACAGGCTGGTACTAGAGCTCTGGACCTCTCCAGCTGATTGTTACTGTCTCCTTGTTGAAGGTCACCCTGCACTGGGAGTCCCCAGGAACGGGGACCATGAGCCCAGACCTCACTGCTGTACTTTACAAACCAGCTACTTCATCCAAACTCAGCTTTGCAAGGAGTTTAAAACTAGTATGGAGAAGCTGGAGTGCAGCACAAATTTAAAAAAAAATCAAATGTAAAAACTGCAGAAGTGAATAAGTGTACCCTATGCCTTGGAATTTTTAAACATACCTAGCATACTTTCATACCTAACAGGAATACCAGACTTCGCAGGAAAACACTGAATTTAGTATCAAATCAACACGTATAGAGCCAAATCTCTGTTCAACCTAGTAGAAATACCACAGCTGATTAAAACTGATCCCATTAATCTCCTCTTTTTCTTAAGTAATTAACCACTGTATTTTAAAATACTTTGGTTTTAATCAAATAACCCGGATATTTTGAACTGCTTCATTATTTTTCACCTGTTGTTAAATACTGTTAAATGCCATGCTTGTCAGACTTTACTAGCAGGCTTTAGAAATGGTTATAAAAATCTAACAGAAAAAGTGACAACAAAAATGTATTTCTATTTATCTACACTTGTAATTTTAATATTAGGGACTGATGTCAGGAAATTATACGGCCCCCCACCCCCGGAATTAAGGCACATCAAATATTTGACATATAGTGACAGAAAAGAAGAAGGTTCTTAGACAGCAGTATTTAACTAGTGTTCTGTTTGACTGTGGCCCAGAATGCTGGTTTATCTTACACGGTTACACCATCTATAAAATCTATGAACAAACAGAGGAAGAGCTTTGATGTTTTTTCCCTATAAACTTTTTTCTATCTGTCTTTAGATTCAACATTTTTTAATTTTGGCATCTCAGGTAGGTAAGGTGAACCCAGGCAATGCAACTTCCTCTTAAAAGACATCAGAAATCACTATGCACTGTACAGCTGTAACCTCACAGTTTTGATTTGCTCCAAATTAAAAGGTTTTGCCACAACAAAAAAAAAGAGGAAACAGTGTTTCTTGGTTCCATTCTGTGCAATGAACAAATATAATAAATAACTGAGCTTCTTTGCTAAAAAGCTCATAAAGTCTAGGCACGCTGATGGCGGAATATCCCACAGACACAGAAAAAAGCTTGCAGGGTACAAATGCCAAGATTAAATGCTATAATTTAGCAGTGATTTCTGAAAGCACGCACAGAGGGAGAGAAATTCATCACCAGCACCCATCAGCTTTGCAAGTCTGTGATCCACAGCGCTCCCCAACACTGATGCAGATCCTTTCGGCCCTGCTATCCTGCGTGAAACCAGGCCCCTGCTAGGAGTGTCATTAAACCAGCAGCCCCCATCGGGATGCATGCAACTTTCACTCACTGAACAGAGATACCCCATGCGACACTTAGCTGATTTTAAGGCAGTTAATTGGGACACCTTACAGGGCAGGCAATCATTTACCTTCCAGAACGTTATTCAGGGGGAAGAACAGCTGCTTAATTGGGACAGCCAATTATTTGGTGAGGCCCTTCACGGTGAATGCTCCAACTTTGCAATTATGCTCGTTTCAGCCCCTAAGAACCTCTGAGCTCTACGGGGACCCAAACAGCCGCCAAACTTCAGAGCCTGCAAAGGTTTCAGAAGTGCAGCAACCCCTGTGGAGCTCATCAGCTCTGCAGTGGTCCTTGAGAAACGCAGCCCGCTCCA